AGGCATGATAAATGTTAATCATTATGAAATCAATAAATTTTATGTTTTCATTATTTTTAATAGTAGTAAGCTTATCATATAATCCTAAATAGTTCCTAAATTAATATGCAGTAATTCTGTGATTACATGATAATCTCATCAACACACTGGGAAATATACTGTGAATGATTTAGCTGTGAGTTGTGCACAGCTGGCTGACAGGTTATACTCAGAGATATTTACATTATATCACTCTCAGCATGAAATAAACACTCCATGGGTAAAGTTATCTTAATAGCTACACTCAGGACTTGTAGAAAATTCATTGATAAATTTGCAGGATAGTCGTATGTGATTGGAAGATTGCTTTAAATTCTTTAAGCTTTGATTTCTTCACTGGTAAGTTGAGGATCATAATATCTATACTGCTTACCTCATAAAACCAATTAGGATTACATATATGTTATGTATTTTTATATATTTTATATATTTTTTATTTTTATATACATACATATATGTAAACATCAAGAGCACTTAACAGACTATAAAATGAATCAGTGTAATTTCAATATTCCTGGTAAGAATTCTAAGTCATTATGAGAAGGGTTAGTTATGTTCATTAGAGTCTATATAAGAATCCAAAATGTTTATATAGCTCAAGGAGCAAAGTATCTGTTACCAGAAAAGCTCAGTGGGGTTGGATAGATTATTCATGATTAAGAAGAAGCTGTTACTGACATTTCTTCTAATATGTACAGAAACAGGAGGCTATGTTAGCATTAAATTCGTAAGAGATTAATGCCAACTCTGTCATGTTCTTTTGTTGTTTTTTTTTAAAGATTTTATTTATTTATTTGGCAAAGAGAGACACAGTGAGAGAGGGAACACAAGCAGGGGGAGTGGGAGAGGGAGAAGCAGACTTCCCATGGAGCAGGGAGCCTGATGCGGGGCTCGATCCCAGGACCCTGGGATCATGACCTGAGCCGAAGGCAGACGCTTAATGACTGAGCCACCCAGGCGCCCCGGTCATGTTCTTTTGAATAATGTACAATATTCATCTTTGGGATAAGAAGGATTTGAAACTGAAGAAAAAACCAAATGTCAGTTAAAACTAAATCTTATAAAGAGGGTTGATGATCAAGGTGTTTAATAGAATCCCCAGGGGCTGACACTATTTCTGACAGATATTTGGTGTTTAATATATATTTGTTGAGTAAATAACAAGATGTGACTTTTATTTTTTTTATTTTATTATGTTAATCACCATACATTACATCATTAGTTTTTGATGTAGTGTTCCATGATTTATTGTTTGCATATAACACCCAGTGCTCCATGCAGAACGTGCCCTCTTTAATACCCATCACCAGGCTAACCCATCCCCCCACCCCCTCCCCTCTAGAACCCTCAGTTTGTTTCTCAGAGTCTATAGTCTCTCATGGTTCGTCTCCGCTCTGATTCACCCCCTTCATTTTTCCCTTCCTGCAATCTTCTTTTTTTTTTTTAACATATAATGTATTATTTGTTTCAGAGGTACAGATCTGTGATTCAACAGTCAACAGTCTTACACAATTCACAGTGCTCACCATAGCACATAGCCTCCCCAATGTCTATCACCCAGCCACCCCATTCCCCCTACCCCCACCACTCCAGCAACCCTCAGTTTGTTTCCTGAGATTAAGAATTCCTCATATCAGTGAGAGCATATGATACATGTCTTTCTCTGATTGACTTATTTCACTCAGCGTAATACCATCCAGTTCCATCCACATCGTTGCAAATGGCAAGATTTCATTCCTTTTGATGGCTGCATAATATTCCATTGTATATATATATGTATATATATATATATATATACACACACACACCACATCTTTATCCATTCATCTGTTGATGAACTTCTTGGCTCTTTCCGTGGTTTGGCTATTGTGGACATTGCTGCTGTAAACATCGAGGTGCATGTACCCCTTCGGATCCCTACATTTGTATCTTTGGGGTAAATACCCAGTAGTGCAATTGCTGGGTCATATGGTAGCTCTAAGATGTGACTTTTAAATCATGATTTTGTTCTTTGGCTCTAAGAAATTTCCTAAAATTGTAAAAAAACAAAAAAAATGGTTGCACCATTGAAAGAGAGATTGAAATAAGGGCATAATGTTTTTGGGTGACCCATATTTGAATATTTGAGTTTGGGTGTATATTTTCAAAAACTTCATATTACTTCACAGTTATACATACTATTCTGCTTTAAATTAGTGAGAGTAATCTGTTATCCTATTTCCTTTTAATTTATGTCAGTCATCTAATGAGATTCCACTAATGCATTAAAGTCTCTTTATGTGATTTTCCTTATTATATGAAGTTAATGATCCTTGGGATTACACTCAATTGCTTCAGCTATTCGAAAGTATAGTCAGTATTTTATTTATTTACCATTACTTATTGTGACATGTATTTCTAGGTAGCCAAAACAGCCTAAACTACAAATGCTACAGATAGGTAGGTAGGTAGGTAGGCAGGTAGATAGATAGGTATTCCTTTTTATTAGGTTTAGGGGTACATCAAGATAGTGTGCAAGGTACAATTAAATGTATCCATTTAATAAAATACATTGAAAGGAGTTTTGCAAGAAGAATTTGAGTCTTTCCAAATGAAATAGGATCTTTAGGGCCTTACCAAATAAGGTATTAAAAATAATGATTATGGGATTTAACTTTTACATAACCTGTCTAAAACCTAATTTTTATAATAAAATCAAAGCTATTAATTCATTTACCTTTTTAAATTTAATTTTATTATGTTAGTCACCATACAGTACATCATTAGTTTTTATAAAAGCTTTTTTATATTGCTGGATAGGATTTTTTTCTTTTTGCTTAATTGCACATTTATAAATATGTGTTATTTAACAAAAAGGGAAAACTGGCAGTAAAAGCAATTCTAAATAATCTTCTAGTAAGACATTCTCATAGGGCAGCGGTACCATTAAGCACTGGAAAAAAAATCCTAATTATGGCTCTAAATTAGGGTTTTTAAAATTCTTAATATAACTTGTCTAATGTGATGATTCCATTTTCTTTTTCAAGATGCTTCATTGGCCTGGTAGACAATTAGAGAGGGCTCTGCTGATCTATTCTAACCCCTCACATTACTGATGAGGACACAGAGCTCCAGAGAAGAGTGAGATTCTAAAAGTAGTTGATAGGCAGCAAAGCCACGAACACAAAGTGCTGTGATCTTTGAAGCAGTGTGTACACATGGAAGTTTTAACCTTGCAGATTTATCATGTGGTTTTTCTTGGAGTAATTACAGTAATTTTTAACCTGAAAATCACTAGAAACATGTTTTATTCCAAGAAGCCAATCCACTGTATTAAGGGTTTCTTCTTCATTCCCCTCGTTTACCCAGATATTTTGGCAATAGTAACAACTAACATTTGTATAGAACTGCTCAATTTTAGAGAACAGTTTTATATTTTACATCTCACTTGACTCTTGCAACAACATTGTCAGTAAGAAAATATTATTCTCACCCTATAGATAAGGAAACTGAAGCCAAAAGAAATTTAATAAATTGCGCAAATCATTTAAATAGCTGGCCAAGCCAAATTTGAACACAGGCCTTCCGACTGCAGAGCCTTTGCTCTTTCCAGCTTTATGTTGCTAGGAGTTGCTAAAAGTTGTTTAAGGATTTTTTTTAAGCCACCTTATTGTCACGTCACGTCATTTTTAAGAGGTCTCTGGTCAGCCCTTTTTGTTACGTGAATAACAGGGTTTTAAATTAGTAATGGCTACCATGTATTGATTGAACACCTGCCCTGGGCCAGGCGATGTGGTGGGTGCTTATTATGCCTGACTCTGACTCTCAGGACCTGTGAGATGTACACTATTTATCCAGTAGGTAATTAAAACTCGGATTAAAACTCCACTCTGTTTGCCTTGCGAGCTGCAACTTTTCAGCTGTACCCAAGATTCAGTTTCCATAGGAGAAAATATGCATATGTTTAGAGCAATATCACTCTTAATGTACTTCTTCCGTATTGCATATATGGATATTCACATATATATGTATCCAGACCTCCATTTATTACCTCCATAATAACTGAGAAAATAACTGCTCTTGGTTCAGAAGCTCATGAAATTAAAAAACAGGAAAATCAATAGCTGTATATACCAGTGTTATAATTGCAAGACGACAGGATCAGTATTTTCTTCCTGTAATAATGTTAAGTAGTAACGGATACTTTTTTATTGAGATATAATTGACATGTAACATTTATATTAGTTTCAGGTGTCCAGGGGACACTTCTAACAAAATATAATCAATCTGACCCACCCACCTTAAATGGAAGTATTTAGGAAGTGTGTTCAAGTTAATGATACTATAATGTCTTCTGAAGCTTGATTTTCTGTAAATTACCAGTTAGGTTCAGTATAACTTTTACTTAAATATGATTTTATTGTTTTTGTTTTTTAATATTTTTGCCTTTTAAATTTTTTTTAACAAGAATCTTTGAAGTTACAAGTACCAAAACTGTAGAAGACTTTTCTTCAGGCCCCTATTTTTATACAAAATTATTTTGAAGGGTCATTTTCACTGAGGTGATTTTTTTTTTTTTTTTTTTTGCCTAGGGTGTGCAGAAAGATAGCAGCAGTGTGAGCTATGAGTTGGCCAAACCCTCATGCAGAGACAGAGGAAAGACCTTACAACCCCTTGTGAGCTGAGTAGCAGGTTGTCCACTGTCTCCATACCTCCCTTCAGGAGGAAAATGGGGCCTCCAACCTTCTCATGTTCTAATGTGCAGAGAAAGCAGAGGGATTCACAAAGTGGAAATTTATTCAAGTTTTGAAGTTCTACCCAGCTCTGGGACCGGCCCTCGTGACTTCCAGTGGGGCTTTCTGGTGTCATCCTTTGTTTCAGCTGATCAAGACAACACAGTTATCAAATAAGTGTCCTCTGTTGCATTATTTTAACTATTGCATATTCCACTTTAACAGTTTATTCTTATCTTTTTTATCTAGGTCGAACCGGAAGGTACACTCTTATAGAAAAATGGAGAGATACTGAAAGACACTTAGCACCTCATGAAAATCCTATCATATCCTTAAACAAATGGGGGCAGTATGCTAGTGATGTACAGCTAATTTTACGTCGAACGGGGCCATCTCTTAGTGAGCGACCCACTTCAGACAGTGTGGCTCGAATTCCGGAGAGAACTTTATATAGGCAGAGTTTGCCCCCCCTGGCTAAACTGAGGCCTCAGATTGACAAATCAATCAAAAGGAGAGAACCTAAAAGGAAATCATTAACATTTACAGGAGGTGCCAAAGGATTAATGGACATTTTTGGAAAGGGTAAAGAAACTGAATTTAAGCAAAAGGTGCTGAATAACTGCAAAACAACAGCAGATGAATTAAAGAAGCTGATCCGGTTGCAGACAGAGAAGCTTCAATCCATTGAGAAAGAGCTAGAATCAAATGAAATAGAAATACAATTTTGGGAGCAAAAATATAATTCTAACCTTGAAGAGGAAATTGTTCGCCTGGAGCAAAAGATCAAAAGAAATGATGTCGAAATTGAAGAGGAAGAATTTTGGGAAAATGAGTTGCAGATTGAACAGGAAAATGAAAAACAGCTGAAGGATCAACTTCAAGAAATAAGACAGAAAATAACAGAATGCGAGAGCAAATTAAAGGACTATTTGGCTCAGATTCAGACTATGGAAAGCGGTCTTGAAGCAGAAAAATTACAACGGGAAGTTCAGGAGGCACAAGTCAATGAAGAAGAGGTTAAAGGAAAGATTGGTAAGGTCAAAGGAGAAATTGACATTCAAGGCCAACAGAGTGTGAGGCTGGAAAATGGCATTAAAGCTGTAGAAAGATCTCTTGGACAAGCCACCAAACGATTACAGGTAAGAACATCTCTATAAAAAGAAATGCTTCATCTGTTTTAAAGAATTAATATATTCTTGGCATTTTCTTTAATGACTGTCCATTTTCTCTTACATTTAAAGTTAGAAACCTACCTTGGTTTATAAGTTTCTTAGAATTTCTGTGACTTATGACAAAGCTAAAATGTGAGACCAAAACAAAGATGAGAGCTAAAGCCTCACTGATCCTTGCTCCACAGAAAGAGGTGTCTTACTTTGGCAGTTGGAACATTATTGGATACAGAGAATAGAATCTCAGAGCTGGAATGGACACTAATGATGAGATAGTGAATCTGACCTCCTCTCCTTTAGAGAGAAGGAAACCAAAACCAAAAGAGATTACCACAGATGGGTCTACCAAGGATTGTGTGGCTAGTTGACTGCTTATCGATTACTTCTCCATTGTTGCTCACCCCATCTTTTCCTGAGATGTAAATAGTCCCCTTCTTTTCTCCACATTACTTACTTTCCTTTGCTTTCCTGAGGAAAGGGGCACGGAGGTTCCTCTCTGATTTTCCCTTCTCGGGTTCCAATACAAGAACTTTTATATTTTGCCATGAGATCCTGATCACTCAACTTATATTTCTCGGATACCCATTCTCGAGAAGAAACTGTGCTGATGTTAGGGGAGTTGCAAAGAGGTATTAAATAGAAATAATATTTTAATATACTAAATGTAAATAATATTTAAAGTGTTAAATATTAATATTAAATTTTAAAATATTAAATAAATATACATTTCTGGGTTTGGTTACATTTGGCCACATTTCAAGTGCTCGACAGTGGTTGCTGTATTGGTCAGTGCTGGTTGGTGACTTGCTATTCAAAGAGTGATCCATGTAGTTCAGGGCACACTTGTTAAAAATTCAGAATCTCTATTGTAATAAGATCTCCAGATAGTTCCGGTGCACATGGAAGTTTGAGCAGAGCTACTTTAGAATATGAACAGTTTTACAAGCAGAGAAAGCTGAGGTTTCAAGAATCACTTATGTGATTTCCATTCTCTGCCACAAACAATATAGTCAAGAGGTAAAACTACCACCAAAATTTTGAAAATCAAGAATTTCTCATGCAGTACAAGGTTGTTAACTTCTGATTTGTCAGTAGTATGCTATTTGGATTCATTTTGACCCTTAAAAAGGATACAGTTGGAAGTTGTGTGGCCTTTGATATTGTTTACAGGAAATGCTAATTTATGACAGTCATTGCCAGTAAATCTCCCTACCCTTTGGAAAGGATCTCATAATCAAACTAACATATCTCCAAGTGCCCGCTACACGCACAGTAAGTAGAGGAAACAACCACTCATTTCTGGTATCTCTTCCTACCACTGCCAGTCTTCAGGCACACTCAGCCTGGGTGAGGCCTTGCCACTTTTTCCTATAGTGCAGTAAGGGAGAGAAAGAACATCCATTCAAATCATGGAATACCTCTCCTTGCTTTTTGAACTTTCTAGCTATCTGAACTTGATCTCCTTTCTTTAAGGATCTTCAGTTCTCAGACCTGTCTTTGCCAAGGACTTAAGAACCCCAAAGTGAAAATCTTGTGGGAATCTTGCTTTCCTCATGCTGTAATGTATAGCTCAATAATGAATCCCATGAAAACAGTTTACCAAAAACAAGAACTTCTCTGAATCTCATGGACCAAGTGTCTATTGATTTTGCAGTCGGTTATGAAGTCAGTAGGGAAATTTAATTGTGAATAGCTTATAGCAAGATTGCTGTAAACACTGGGATGGATGAAAACTAGTATTTTACTGATAAAAGTTTATAGAGACAGATTTATCTCATCAGGTGCATAGTGTTTTCCTAACAGAGGAAGGCATCACATTTAAGAGGACGGACTGAAGAAGCTGTTGTCCTTTATTTGCTTATGTTTTGGCCTGTTCCCCAGAGCAAAAATGATCTCTTTTTTAGCCCACTGTATCAACATTAACCAGGTTTGTTAAAGGCGTTCTTGGGAAAGCACGTATCACACATCCAGCCCCTGTAGCAGATGGACTCTCACCGGGATGTCTTTAGCTGGCCAAGAGTGAATCTTCAAATAAAAAGACAAATTTTAACTCCCATCTAGGACAAAGAACAAGAACTGGAGCAGTTGACTAAAGAGCTGCGGCAAGTCAATCTCCAGCAGTTTATCCAACAGACGGGGACAAAAGTTACCGTTTTGCCAGCGGAGCCCATTGAAGTAGAGGCCTCACATGCAGACCTAGAAAGGGGTAAGGTGTTGAGAAATCTGCTCGCTTTACTTTATTCTCACAGGTTAACTTTGAAGAAACTACTTGTATTGAGCTAAAATATTAGCCTACTGTTCAAAGCTTGGGCCACTTAAAAAAAAATTGACATACTTCCTGCTTCTGGGGAAAATCAATAATATCTAGATTGTTGATTTAAGTACGTGGGCATGTAATCCCCAAATCTTGTATCATTTGTTTTAAACTGCTTCTTTAAGAAACCTTTTCCTTATGTTTGAGTCTGTCATCTGTTGATTTTTATTAGCGTTTCTAATGCCCCTTCTTCCTCTCCTAAGAGTCTTTATTATTAATTTGTGCTGATATTTAAAAGATGTGTATCATCTGAACAACCAAGAAAGAGAAGCAAAATGCTCACCTTTTTAAAAAGATGTTGAAATCACTGAAAACTGTTTTTATCAATGGAGAGGGTCAAGAAGAGTTAGCCTTCTCTTCTTACCCCAGGCCCCACAGGGGACTGCAATTTTACAGTTTACTCTTTGGCTCTTGAGGGCAGGAAAAGTTCTAGTTTTTCATGTTGCTGACTACGTCGAGTTGCTGAATACACCAGATGACTTTCTTTGTTTTCTGTGTAGAGGCACCATTCCAGTCCGGGTCCCTGAAGCGGCCTGGTTCATCTCGGCAGCTCCCCAGTAATCTTCGTATTCTACAGAATCCTATCTCATCTGGTTTTAATCCTGAAGGCATCTATGTATAACATTATCTGTCTTTAGGGGAGAGACCCAATAAAGGTACCAAGGACAGTAAAAATTCCTTCTTTGATTTGTGCCAATGATGAACAGAGGATCTATTTCACAAGCCACCATCTCTTTTTTCTGTCCTAAATTGCATACCACTTGGAGCCATACCCTGTGCACTGATGCTAAAGAACAAAGAAACTGTGTTTTCACACATCGACAGTGTTGACATGTTTGTCCAGCAGCTGTAATGCAAAGCCTTCATTTTTATTTGTAGCATTTTGAGAGCGTTAGGAAAGTATTATACTGTGTGTATACGTAAATAAAACCATGACTTAAGAGCAAAGAGAAATATGTGACTGGCTTAATTTATTCCATATAATCGATTAATGGGTGAATGTTGATGTTTTAATATTTTTATTAATACTTATCCTGTGACTGAATTACATTATATATTGTGTGAAATACATTATGTATTAATTACATTATGACTGTGTGTGCATGTTGCCAGACTACATTTGTACATTGCTGATCTACAACTATACAAGTGTCATAGGGTGCTCCACCATCAAAACTAACTCCAAAGGAACCCACTTGTATTTATTTTGTGTACCCGTCCTAGCCATTGCTTCATTAGATGAAATAATTCCGGTTTTAGTATCTGGACTTGGATCTTTGCTTTACAATATTTCCAGTATATGAATGACCATATACCAGAAGAGAAGTATTTTCACGAGGTGTAAATTGTATGTTTAGAAGATTTGCAGAACTTTGGGCACTGTAAACAAAAAATGTAATTGTTGAATATCTGTCCAAACAGGCATGGGGTTTCCTGATACATTATGTGTTTTGTTTCTGCCCTGCCTTAATCATTTAAATCTCATGGATCCTCAGAGTTGCCATAATACATAAGTTAGAGATAACTGGTTGATCTACTTCAGAAAGGTTACTTTAAGTGATATATTTTTAAAATAACCCATTTCATATGTATAGTCTGTTGGTGTAAGCACCCATGGGTAAGTTATCGCTTGCACATAATTTAATCTGTACTTTATGGATTTTGCTATTTCTCCAGTCACTTAGATAGAAAGTACATTGGAGTTTAGGTATTTTTTACAAAGGAAATAAAATTAAATTCGCTTTTTTGTTTTTTTTTTTGTTTTTTTTTTTTTCATTCTTGAGCTTGGCTTTTACAGGACATGAGATGAGTCTCCCAACTGTACATATATTTTCTTATTTATTTATAAAACCAAAAAGTCACAAGTAGTATCTGGATGGATGTGGTCAGATACTATTTTGCCATTTTTACATTCCCTCTGATCAAAATTTGGTACAATATAATTAAGACTTTAAACTGAAATTTAAAGTGGTTTTTAATTCTGAGGAAAATATATTCTCTGTATTACATGCAACAAAGTAAAAGTGGATTAGTATATTAATGCCATGGTAACAATAAAAAGATGTAAGTTATATCTTATGCATGAAGGCAACTTTGGATGTTTTAACACATTTGACTTATTTTGGTTTAAATGAATGCTGAGAATGCTACATTTAGGTTTCCAATGAAAAATTTTAAGAATGGCTATGAAAATATTATATAGCAGCTTCTAGAGAACTGAAAGTAATAATGCAGAGTTGCCTTTTCTAGTCCAGCTAAATGGCAGACCTCAACTAAAGGTATTATTTTCTTTGGGTTCTTGGAGTTATCAAGTTGACTTTGCCATTATACTATTTTGCAAATAACTTGAGAAATAATTTATTCTTACCTACATAACCCCAACCTCTACACATTTGTTCTCAATTTATAATAATTATTTCATATCTATACATATTTAAAAATTAAAATTAAAAAAATCAAGATACTTTGTAGATTTTGTGACAGTAATGATTTATGTATGCCCACTATAAGCCTTATTTTTAAAGGGTTCCATCCTATACCAAGAGTCATTTTGTTAACTTGTTCAGAGAAATTAAGATCTTATTCACAAAGAAAAACATTTTTATAAATTGATCACATTCTATTTAAATCAAAATGTTAAACTGAGGATATAATAAACGTTGCAGTTTTTAATTGCAGAGATGCTTGGTATGCCATCAAAAACACAAAGTCAATGTCCAACTTAATTGTAAATTATTATCAGCATTAACCTAATAACTTTAAGACTGGCAGCATTGTGACAACTTCATCTGAATTTTCAAATGCCAAGTAATCTTTATGGACCTGATTACGGATAGAAATACTATTTCCTAGATGGGAAGAATATATAAATGTGAATTTGATAAATATATTGAGCAGCTATACTTTTTAATCAGTTATAATACTTCTGAAAGAACATCTCTAAGAAATATTTTCTAAGTCTTTTTAAAATAGAAGAAAGAAAACTCATTTCTCCTAGAACATCTTAAAAATAATATAGTCCATTCCTGGTCATTTGTATCTATTGTGAACACAGAGGAGTTAGATTAAGTGCCACATCTTTTGGATACATTTCAGGGGGATGGGGAGGGGGACAGCAGGCAATGATATACAAAAATACCAAATATAAAATTTTGCATCTGCGGGAATATTCAGGTTCTAAATACTAAACTAGATTATAAGGGGCTTTTTATTACTGTTATACTGCAAGTTGTTTCATTATGATTTCCTATAAGTATTAAATAAATTAGAAGATAATTTTTTTTCTTACCAAGGAGTGATTTGAAATAGCATTGGTATATTTGACCCTTTTGAGTGTCTAGCATCCTCAGAGAATGATCCATAGTGGGTTGCCTCAGTCCTGTTTTTTGGGTTTTTTTATGAGATATTTTGGTTTATTAGCATGCTTTTTGTCCTGATGCACAGAGAATTTATATATGAGACTTTGGTTGGTATTGATAGGAATTACCCATTTAATTCCCTCAGTCATCTCTGAAGTAATCGTCAATTCCTATAGTTCAAATTAATCATAAACTCGAGCTAAAACAGCAAAAATACAGAATTTGTGGTATGAAATGTGATTAATAGTGTTTAAGAAAAACAAATAAAGCACTTGCTTCCAGAGCATAAGTAAATTTTGTACCTGCATTAAAAGGACATTTTCTTTGTGAATAAGAGAAAAATGGTCTTTCGAGTAAAGAAACATCAGTTAAAGCCATTTCTTTGAATATCTCTCCAAGTTAGAACTATAATAATGGATTGAGGAAATGATACGGAAAAGGCAAAAACTCTTGATTTCGGGTGTGCAAAGGATGTGGGCAGATGGGCATTTCCCTGTGTGCATTGCCTTTGAAAAATTGGGCCTTAATTTATATGTATAGAACAATGCTGTGTTCCCATCCCTCTTCTACCTGAAGTTGTCTTTATTAATCTATATTGTATTAAAATTTAGCTCATAAGTATTACTTTTATATTATGTCCATTTTTTGCATGTTTATACTATTTGCTACAGTGTTTTTAGGTTTTGGGTGAAGGCCATCAGCTGTGTGGAGAAGAGAAAACAATCACTATTTATTCAGTATTGCTGCTTTACATTTCCAGAATAAGCTTTCGATGCCAGGACACTGACTTCTTGAAAGCTGCAGGAGCTCTATTCCAATGCATTTTATATATTTTTAGAAACCAAATAAATGCAGATAACTATTTAGTATACTAATTATATTAAACCAGCAGAAATAGGCAATAAAGTATATACATATATATATATGGGGGGAGGGAAAGATTTAAAAAATAGGTTTACAGCCAGACATGGTGATAGCCCTAAATATATTTCCAGTCTGTCTTTATTGACCCAAGGAGGATTTGAGTTGCTGCAGCTTTAAACAGAAAATTGCCATGTTCACTACTGTGGACACATAAATATGCTTTTAGTACTGCTTTGCTTATGTACCAATAAAATAACTGTAATATGTATTATATGTAATTATTCTTTTTTTGACTTTCATTTCAAAATGTATATTTTCTGATTATTATCATGAGCTGTAAAACAAAGGATCAGTATCTGATATTCTCCCACATAATAAATTTTCAGGATTCATTGGGGCATTATAGTTGCTGGTTTGTTTTTTATGTGTTTAGTATTTTAAAATATGTTTCTTTTCTTTAAAAGATGCCAAAGAGAAAAGGTCTGCATATCAGTGATATAAAATTACATTTCTTTAAAAGTAATGTTAATTATTATAACTAAAGAATTACCTATTGCTAAAAAAGGCTGTTTTGGAGCACCTGGGTAGCTTAGTCAGTTAAGCGTCCAGTTTGATTTTCGCTCAGGTCATGATCTCAGGGTCATGAAAGGGAGCCTGGCGTCAGGCTCCGTGCTGGGTGTGGAGCCTGTTTAAGATTCTCTCTCTGCCTCTCCCTCCGCCCCCCGCCACACACACACGTGCACTCGCGCTCTCTTTCTCAAATAAATCTTCTTTTAAAAAGCTGTTTTATCCAAGTGAAACTGAATCAAGAAATTAATGTCTCCCTTTTATTTCAAAAGCAAAAGGAAACGTGTCTTAATGAACCTCTGTATTCTCAGACTTCTTTAAAACCACAAGTGAGGGGAATAATTCAGTACCTACTCTGTTCCAGGTACAATGGGAGATACATTCAGCCATCTAGGGAACCTCTTCCAAATCATACAGCTAATAAGTAGCTTACAGGGCACTTGAATATAGACCTTTCAGATAGTGAATACTTCCCTATATTCCATGATAAGCTGCATAAGTAGCTTTTTATGTTTTTAAAGTGAAAATAATGTGGAAGTACATAAATTGTCATTTTCATATTTTGTGTAAGTTAGATCTTGGTCAAGAAATTATACATATGAATAATAGTATGTTATGAAAAATGATAAATTATTAAAATAATGCAAAATATAAATTATTCTTTGTCCTAGTTTGGGGGACTTTTAAAATTTTAATTTTACTGTTCTCCTCTAAAGCATTTGTTTAGTTAATGGCAGAGCAAGAAATAAACTTCTGTTCACTTGACTCTTGACACCTGCTGCCCACTTCACGTATTTGTGCTGCGTCTTAGGCAGGGTCAGCAGACTCCTATAAAACAGGCACAAACTTGCTGGACACGTTTGTACTTTCTGTAGACGTTTAGTGAGGCTTTATTGTTAGCCACACACTGTGCTGAAATTAACATGATTGGCTTTGCAGCTCAGGAAGGTTACAGTCTAATGCTCACCATTAAAGGAACAAGGATAGAGGGCCGTGGAAACACACCAGAAGGGCTTTACCCCAATCCAGAGTGTTGGCAAACCCTGGAGAAGGGAATATAAAGTGGGGAGGGATATCTGACCGGATGGTGAAAAGGTCGGGAGGGCTAAGAGAGAAGGTATCATGGAGGGCTTTGGTTGCTATGGTAAATAAGGACTTTATCCT